AGGAGGCCGACGAAGTCCCCTGAGGCACCTTCAGATGAAGACTCCGATGAGGGGCGTCTCTCTCGGAGTACCTCCAGGCGTGCCTCCTCCAAGGCGACCTCTAAAATTGCCTCCATCTCCCGAGCGTTTTCTCGAGGACTCCTAGGGAAACGGGCCGAGGACCCACCTCGGCGCCCCGGGGGCCTAGCTTCGGACTACATGAGGGCCCCGCCCTTTACGGATGACATCAATGGGGAAAGGGTGCCCCCGAACTTCAAGCTTCCAAACTTGCACACCTATGACGGCCGAGGTGACCCCGAGGATCACCTCCGCGCCTTCATCTCCGCATTCCGACTCTACTGCGTCCCCGACGCCGTGATTTGTCGGGCTTTCCCCATTTTCCTACATGGGACTGCCCGGATGTGGTTCTGGAGTTTGGAACCAGGGAGCATTTCCTCCCTGGATGAGCTGATAGACCGGTTCATCCACCGCTTCGTGTCGTCTCGACCAATCACGAAGACTTCAGCTTATCTCTTGAACCTTCAACAGGGTCAGGGCGAGTCTCTTCGCTCGTATGCTCAGAGGTTCAACGAGGAGAATGTGCAAATACCTGATCAGAACGAGCAGGTAACTCTCGCGGCCTTTACCAACGGGTTGGTGGCCGGACTCTTCAACACCGAAATTCATCGGGATTACCCTCGTACACTTCACGAACTCTGGGAAAGAGTGGACCAGGGAATCCGAAATGAAGATGTGAATCGCATGAAGCGAGAAGCCCAAGTCTCTCGTACGGGACAAGATGCCCGGAGAAGGAAAGACATCGGCCGAGGTGAACCCGGCCCAAGTGGCACTTCAAACCCACCACGGGACCGCCGGAGTGTCTTTGACCGGATCGTGAAAGGAAGATCTTCCACCTCGGACGCTGAGCTAACACCGCTCAATTCCAGCCGATCTCATGTCTTGGCTGTGATGAGGCAGAACCACCTCGGCCGAACACCTCCTGAGATCCCTGGAAGAAGAGATAGGAGGAACTCCAGCCTCTACTGTGCCTACCATCGAGATGTTGGGCACGAGACCGAAGACTGCAACGATCTGAAACGAGAGATCGAAAATCTAATTCGGCAAGGACACTTGAAACAATTTGTCCGCAAAGATGGAAGCTTCGGACGAAGTGCCTCCCACCGGGAGAGCTGAGGTCCTCGCCGAGAAGACAGGCGGGACACCAAGTTCAACTGCCGAGGTCCTGAGGACCAGAAAGGGGACCAAAGGCCTCCACGCGACGGGTCACCAGGCTATGGTCCCAACATTGCCGGGGTGATCAACACCATCTCAGGTGGTCCCACGGGAGGAGACAGCCAGAGCTCCCGAAAGCGGACCTACCGCCAAGCCGGCATGGATGTGGCCGAGCCGAGCTCGAGGCTGTCCGAGGTCATAACTTATGGTCCCCGCGACCCTGTCCCCGCTGCCTCCAGCAATCACGAGACCCTCGTGATTGAGGTCCTCACAAACAATTATATAGTCAAGAAGGTCTACGTTGACCCCGGAAGCTCGGTAGACGTCCTGTACTACCGAACTTTCGAGAGTTTGAAGCTAACCCGGGAACAACTCACTCCGGTCAGAACTCCCCTTGTCGGCTTCGGGGGACACGTCGTCCACCCGGAAGGCATGGTGAATTTAATGGTGACTATCGGGCGTCATCCCCGTTGCCGAACTGTGCCTGTCAGCTTTGCGGTGGTCAAAGCGGACTCTCCTTACAACATGCTGATAGGCCGGCCCACGCTCAATGCCTTGAGAGCCGTATATTCTACCTACCACCTAAGCTTCAAATTTCCAACACCAGAGGGGGTGGCTGAGGTGAGCAGTGACGTGGGCGCCGCCCGAGAATGCTACCTTGCCACCATCCAAGCCGCAGTCGGACCTCAGCCCCCGCCGAGGTCAGAAGAAAAGAGGCCGGCTGTCCTCTCCATAGACTGCATCGACCCTCACAAGGCAGGAGAGCCCAGCAGGCTTGAGCCAGGGGATGAAGTGGAACAAGTGGTCTTGGATGAAACCAAGCCTGACCGAGTGGTCCAAGTAGGGGCCGGACTCCCTTCACCCCTGAAAGAAGAAGTGATCTCCCTGATCAAGGACCACCGAGACATCTTTGCGTGGTCCGCAGATGAAGTGGTCGGAGTGCCACCCGAGCTTATGACTCACCAACTTAACGTTAACCCACAGGCCCGACCTGTGCGGCAGAAGCGAAGACACTTCGGCCCCGAACGCAGCAAGGCCATATCGGACGAGGTCGACAAGCTCTTGCCGGCCAAGATGATCCACGAAGTCCAATATCCGACTTGGTTGTCCAACCCAGTCATGGTCAGAAAGGACACCGGCGGATGGAGAATGTGTGTAGACTACACCGACCTCAACAAGGCCTGTCCCAAAGACTGCTATCCCCTCCCGAGGATAGACACCCTCGTCGACTCGGCGATGGGGTACGAGATCCTGTGCTTCCTAGATGCCTTCAAAGGGTATCATCAAATAGGAATGAGTGAAGAGGACCAAGAGAAGACGGCGTTCTACACCGACCGAGGTGTTTATTGCTACACCACCATGCCGTTTGGGCTGAAGAACGCCGGGGCGACCTACCAAAGGCTGATCAACCGACTCTTCAAGAATCAGATCGGCCGTAATGTGGAGGCTTACGTGGATGACATCCTCGTCAAAAGTCTCGCCACTTCATCCTTCCTGTTAGACTTGAGGGAAGTCTTCGGGGTCCTGCGAGACTCGAGGATGAAGCTGAATCCCAAGAAGTGCGTCTTCGGCGTCACCTCGGGAAAATTCTTGGGGTATCTGGTTTCCCATCGGGGGATCGAGGCCAACCCCGACAAAGTCAAGGCCATCCAAGATATGTCCCCATCTCGGAACCTCCGAGAAGTCCAAAGACTGAATGGACGCCTGGCCGCACTGAACCGCTTTTTGTCTCAATCTGCTGAGAAGGCCCTGCCCTTCTTTAAAGTGCTGAAGAAGTCTGATCAGTTCGCCTGGACTGAGGAGTGTCAGTCTGCCTTCGACCAGCTGAAGCAGTACTTGCACCACCTGCCCACTCTCGCTTCACCTCGGCCCGAGAAGAAGCTCTACCTCTACCTCTCTGCAGCCGACGAGGCTGTCAGCGCTGTGCTCATCCGAGATGAGGGCACCCAAGTGCCGATCTACTACGTCAGCCGCGCTCTTCGCGGGCCGGAGACTCGATACACTCAGGTGGAGAAACTGGTGCTGGGACTGGTCCATGCCGCTCGGCGGTTGAAGCCCTATTTCTTAGCCCATCCTATCTCGGTCAGGACTGACCAGCCCGTTCGACAAATATTGGTGCGACCCGAAGCTTCTGGTCGCCTCACCAAGTGGGCTGTCGAATTGGGAGAATATGACTTGTCCTACGAGCCACGCACCGCCATAAAAGCTCAAGCTTTGGCTGACTTCCTTGCCGAGCTCACTTTCACGGAAGGTCCGGAGTCCACCTCAGCCTTAGCCGAGGTGTCCTCCTCACCCCAGTGGACATTGTATGTCGATGGATCCTCCAACGGAGAAGGCAGCGGAGCCGGACTTCTCCTGGAAGGACCTCAGGGAGAGGTGTGCTCCTACGCCCTCCGCTTTGGCTTCCCAGCCACCAATAATGAAGCCGAGTACGAGGCCTTAATTGCTGGACTCCAGTTGGCCCGAAGGCTCGGCGCCCAGCAAGTCCACGTCCGCAGTGACTCCCAACTTGTTGTGCGCCAAGTTCTTGGTGAATACGAGGCTAAGGATGAGACCATGCAAAGGTACCTCTCCAAAGTTCACCAACTCACCGCATACTTCAACTCATTCGAAATCCAAAGAATCCCCCGGTCCCAGAATAAGCGAGCCGACGCCCTATCCCGGCTGGCCTCCACTTCATTCTCGGACCTCAACAAGACGGTCTTAGTGGAAGTTCTGAATGAACCAGGATATGTGGAAGAGGTGGCCTGCCCCGTCCACTCCGAAGATAATTGGATGACCCCGATCATCCTCTTCCTGAGTCAGGGAACCCTTCCCGAAGACCGAGCCGAGGCAAGGAAGATACAACGCAAGGCTGCTCGACACGCTCTCCGCGATGGAGAATTGTACAAACGCTCTTACCTCGGCCCCTGGCTGAGGTGTGTCACTCCCGAGGCTGGACGTCATATCCTCCACGAGATCCACGAATGCCTGTGCGGAACTCATGTCGGCCACAGGATGTTAGCCAAGAAGACTATGCTCCTTGGATACTTCTGGCCATCACTTCGGCAAGACGCCCAGGACCTCGTTCTCGGCTGTCCTTCCTGCCAAGTCCACGCACCCGAGCATCACCAGCCCTCAAATTTCATGGTCCCCATCACTTCACCTTGGCCATTCGAGCAATGGGGGACAGATATCATAGGTCCTTTCCCTAAAGCGGTCGGGGGCTATACCTTCCTGGTGACGGCTGTGGACTACTTCACTAAGTGGGTCGAAGCCGAGCCACTTCGCACCATCTCGGGGCTGGCCATTCAGAAATTCTTTTGGAAATGCATTGTCTGCCGCTTCGGCATACCTCAGATCATCATCTCGGACAATGGGAGACAATTTGCCGAGAACCCATTCAAGACCTGATGCGAGAACCTCGGCATCAAACAACACTTCACTTCGGTAGGCCACCCCCAGGCCAATGGTCAAGCAGAAAACTTCAACCGGACTCTCCTGCATGGCCTCAAGACCCGACTACACCGAGTTGGGTCATCTTGGGTGGAGGAACTCCCCAGTGTCTTGTGGTCGTATCGGACCACGCCGAGGTCAGCGACTCAAGAGACCCCATTCTCCCTGACCTACGGAGCCGAGGCTGTCATCCCGGCTGAGATCCTTACCCCCAGCCCTCGGCTGGCAGCCTATGCCGCCGAGGTGAACGACGAAGAGAGGCTGCTGGACCTCGACCTCGTCGAAGAACGAAGGGACCTCGCCTCCGCCCGGATAGTTTCTTATAAGAACACACTGGCACACTATTACAATGCCCGAGTCAGACATCGTAGATTCCGCCCTGGAGACTTGGTTCTCAGGAAAAACTCAGTCAGTCGAGCTGAGCCTCAAGGAAAACTGTGCCCAAAATGGGAAGGCCCCTACCGAGTTGTGGAATCTGACCCTAAGGGGTATTGTAAACTGAGTTACCGAGATGGCTCATTAGTGCCGAGGTCTTGGCACGCCGAGAACCTTAGGTTGTATTATGCTTGAAGTTGTGACTTCATTCAGTTGTTTCATCCAATTATCTTGTCAAGTTATGAGTTCAGCTATTTAGTTATTTTTCAACGATATGATGCCCAGCATCTTTTATTAAAAAATAAGGGGGACAAACAAGGGATGAAGTCAAAGCAAGAAACAAAAAGCGCTGAGATAAGAGGAAACAGACTTTCATTTAACAGAAGTATTACAAAAATTACAAGGCCGAGGTCGGAGTGCTACTAAACACTTCACCTCGGCCACCCCCTTGAAGCCTACAAGCCTAAACCCCCGTATCGGCTGCATCCCCGGTCTTGGCTCCCTCCTGGGCATCCATCTCTTCGGCCTCCTTTCCGCCGGGGTGAACTTCATCTCCAGGCTCTTTGCCGACGTCCCCTCCGGCTTCGTCTCCCCCGGCATCCTCTCCAGTTTCTTCCTCTTCAACCCCCTCGAACACTTCGTCGATTTCGTACAGCCATTTGTTGAACTCGGCCTGGACCTCGGCCAGGTCCCTTCCAGCCTGGAGGCCCTCAGCCATCCGGTCGCACAACTCCTTGGAGTTCTCGTTGTAACTGGTATGATTTTTCAGAGACTCCAAGGCTTCGGGAGCGAGATGAGCTGCAGCCTCGTCTATGGCTGATGTGAAGCCAAACATGAAGTTCGGCGTGAGCAGTTGGCCGAGATCCCTGGTGAAGGCCTCAGACCTCCGGAATTCGTCCACCGCCGAGGCTCCAGCACTGTCAAGGGCTTGCTGGTGGGACTTCTTCGCCTCGTCCCCCCTCTTCTGCTCTTCTTCGAGAGCCGATCTGAGACTGTTGACAGTAGCCACGGCCTCCTCATCCTTCACCTCGGCCTCCTTAAGCCGCCTTTCAAGCTCGGCCTTCTCAGACTCGGACACCGCCAGTTGTTTCTCCAACTTGGAGATCTGATTCTGTAGCTTGCCGGTGTCCTGCTCATCGACCAGAGCACAATATCGGTGTGCCATCTCGGCCGCGAAGGCTGAGGTGGAAGCCGTGGTCACCATCAGACTTTGAACCAGCTCGGCCGGGCTCAGCTTCTTCATGAACTCCAAATCCCTTGGCAGAATGGAGTGCATTATTAGCTCTTGAGCGACCCGAGGGTGTTGGCACCTGTCGTTGACCGAAATCTTCCAGTTCGGACACCAATGATTGCCGGAGTGCGTCTTCTCGTCTCCGGAAAACACTGGGGGGCTATGGAAACGATTCCATAGCGAGGTCCCCGACACCGGATTAACCGGAGGCTTCAGCTGCTTGCCTCGGCCAGAAGGAGGTGTGACTATTTTAACAACTCCAAGGGGAACTCCCTCTGGCGCAGACGAGGTGGACCCAGTAGCCGTAGTGGCCGAGCTGCTCTGGCCAGCCTTGGTGGAAGTGCCTTTGGGCGCTGAAGTCTTAGCGGCTGGTCCTTGTGACTTCTTCTTTGGCGGAGGCGCCGACGTCTCGTCCGAACTTTTCCTCTTCTGCCTCTTGGCCACTTCGGACGAGCCGGAGACGACGAGGTCAGACAGTTTAGTCACTGCACAAGGAATAAATATTATCATATGCCTTAGCCGAAATGAAAAGAAAAGCCATGAAAGAAAATTACAAGGTTTCTCAAGTTTAATGGAAAAGAAGGGAGTCTTGGTAGTGTTGATCACGGCTCGACTTATCCCTCCATCTACGAGCACGGCCTCGGGGTAGTCATGGCTGAACAGCCGAAGTCCCGATTTCATCAGCTTCTGGAAGGACTCCTCTTCGGCATCCCCGGCAGAGGGGTCGGCCTTCGCCTTAATTGGCCTCCACCAAAAGCCCCTCGGGAAGTCCACTCCGGACACGAAGAAATAGTCGCGCTTCCAGTTCTTGATCGAGCTGGGAGCACCGATCACCAACTTCGAGATGGCATTGTTCCTGTTGCCAACATAAAACCATCCCTTGTCCGACGCGTGCGCCTTGAGGGTGTAGCATCGGCGGAAGAGATCGACGGAGGGAGTCACCTCCTGATGTCGGCACAGCATCTCGAACCCCACAATGATGCGGATCGCATTCGGGGTGAGATGGGTGATTCTCACCCGGAAGTGACGAAGTAAATCTCGGAGGAACCTCGACGTAGGCATCCTCAGCCCGGCCTCCAGCTGTTGAACGTAGACGGCCACCATGCCAAAGGGGGGCTCCGCGGCTGTGTCATCCGCATCGGGCGGCAATACTTCGTACCACGGCCGGAAGGGGTACTTGTCTACCACCCTCATAGCCCTATCTCTTCCTACGCGACTCCTAAACTTCGGCATCTGGCCGAAGTCGATGTCGGCTACGTCCACTGGAGCAACTGGCTCCGGTACACCCTCGTCATGGGGTATCTCGGTCCCGAGCTCGGTATTATACTCCACCTCGGAGCCGCCCTCGCTGATCTCGGACGATTCCAGTTCCGAGGCTATCTCTCCGGCTCTCACCTCGGTCGATCCTTCCTCAGAACTCTGTGCCGACCCCTCCGAGCTGGACGTCGTTGCTTCTTCCTCAGGATCCGCCCTCACCTCGGTCTGGTAGCTCGGGGTCACGGTTTCTTTATGGGTTTTAGCCGTTTTGGCCATGAGTGAAAGACGAGATAAGAAAGAAAAGGGATACTTACTATCGTTTACGGAACTGGACGAAGTGGATGACTTCGGCTATGATCTCGGCTGGAAAAACTGACCTCGGCAACACTCGCAAATTTTGCAAGTCACAAGCGAAGAAAGAAAGTGATGGGCCATGCGGTGAAAGGGACCACCTATTTATAGGGGATGGCCAGAATCCGAAGAGGCGGCAAGAATACGAAAAGACGACCACGATCGAATTCGAAACGCCACGCCTCTCTCTCTCCTCATTAATGCCCCGTCCTTTCGACTGATACCTTCTGCACGAAACGTCCCACTACTTCACGACGCGACGGTTATCAGTGACCACGTCCTATCAACTGATTCGCCCACGTGTCACGTCCCCGCATCTCCCGGAGTAGTTTTGGGACCCCGACTCTTCACGACTTCGGCACAAAGAAGCCTCGGTACCTCCCTGGCCCGAAGCCCCGAGGCTTGGGGGGCTTATTGAGGGTGCTCACCTCGGCCACCCCGCGTGTCCGAGGTGAAGTCACCTCGTCCCTCATCGGAGCCCATCCCTGTCTTGAGCACAATCCCAGAGCCCGGCTTCATCCCTAGTCCACCGTGTAGGTGACCTCGGCACATCCACCTCGGCCGCACACTGATGATGTCAACCTGCCTGACATCTTCCAGGACCAGCACTTTATCTGAAAAGCACGGGAGGCACTTGATGGCACCTGCACCATATCCTCCGTCATCACTCCCAGGCGGCTACAGTGTCAGAGTCAGACTCCCCGACAGGAGACAGAGCCGTAATGTCAGAGTGGGTCCCACTAACATAAGTCCAGAGTCTCGCCTCTACTCTTCTATAAATACCTCCCTCACACTCCCACCAAGTAAGCGGACACTGTTCATTAACTCATTCTCATTATTCTCGTTCTCATACTAACTTGATCGTCGGAGTGATACCAGGGGAGAAGCCCCGCCACACACTTCGGACGAGGAGGTTCACTTCGGACACAGGAGTTCACCTCACTTCATCTCAGAGAGGACTGATCCAGGTCGGTCTAGTTACCAACCGAAAATCACCTCCTCAATTACAAATAGTTAAATACCAGGTCCGCATCACACATCTTAGATTACAGTTAGAACGCGACCCAGCTTTAGGTTTACAACATGAAAAAGTCTTGCCCTGTCAAAACCCATCTGCATATTAAATTGATAGCCATAAGATAATTGGAAATTAACCCTGGCCAGCATCGAGTGAACTCACGACCAATCTGACCTCATTTTCTCCCACATTTCATCACCAGTTCATACAAAGTCCCAATCCTTAAAGCTACGAAATGTTATTCTCATGCTGAGCTTATGAAAAATTTCAATTGTTTGAGTGAAAAACCAGCATATCAGCATCATAAATTAAATTTTACATTAATGGTCCAACCACTTATGCTTGATAGTTTCTGGACCTCAGTTTTGCTAAACACTCAACCGCAAGATATCTTTGCAACTTCTTTGGTCGCATGCAATAGCTTATAGAAACAAATAGGCAACAAACAGACCTGCTCATCAGCAAAAAGTGATAAACTTGGGTCGTAACAAGTTTTTTACACGATTGATCTAATCCTCCCAGAATAAAAGATCTGTAAGGGAAAAGGCAAAGGCAAAAGCCATTTGGCAGTCACATGAAATAGAAGATTATTCAAAATATTAAATTTTATCTCCATAGTAGTAAGCAGTCCCCACCATTAATGCAACAGTTGCACCTTGTGCAACCACACGAGCTCGCATCAACTTTTGACCTAATTGAGAATTGCCTTGTCTAAAGCTAATAAGTCCGGCCGTCAGCACTCCAGCTGTAATAAATGCACCTGTTTAAAGTGGATCGATACATTAGGTCGAGAGTCAGGTTGATTGTATCACACAAAATAAGAAGACTACAATCTCTTACAAATTTCAAAAAATCAAAGCATCATTTCAATAAAAAAAAATCTAATAATCAAGCTATTCTGAATTAACAGGGATATCATGTAAGAGAAATGATTTCTTCAAACAAAGACATAATGTTGCACTGCAAACTACATTTAAACACAAAAGACGTAAGAACTCTTAACATACTTAAGCTACAAAGTGCAGGGTGTGTACTGCAAAATCCCCGCAAGCAGATGTCTTTTAATCTTGTTCCTAGAGAGTCTATACTCTGTACTGGGGGGGGGGGGCAAAGCTCATTCTCTTCATCATGCCTTTTAGCTAGAGCCACATAAGTAACTGTCATTCCCAGCAGCAAAAAGTAAGAATTTTATCGGGAGTAACCATCTCAACCGCTATCCCTCTCCTCATTTCAGCTAAAGTATAGCACATGGAAGACAACCATGCTACAACTGAGATCTCTTAGTCATGTGTCTCTGACTAAAATCAAAGCCACCACGATATACCAGGACAGCGTAAATTTTAACTATAAGTCAGTGGTAATAATCCAGCCACACCCATTTGTTAATTGTTGAGATTCATCCACATATGGGGTCAAACATGAAATGTCTGCTGATTTTCTTCTGTATGCAGAACACACCTCATCACTAAAACATTTGGTGGCAGGATATGGGAGATGCCGTCGAGAAGGAACATCTATGGTAATGCCTTGCCTCAAATCCCTCACACTATCATGCAAGTCAACATGGGCCCCAACTAAAGGTTTAGTTGTAGCTTCTGTTCTATCTGCTCACTACTTGAAATGGACGATGAGTTTGAACAAACAGAGTATTCCACTAATGCTGCAGTATTCGCTGGAAGAGGGAAATATGTATATTGGGACAAAGAGTCCAAAACCATTGATGAAGAAGTGAAAAAAGGGCCTCAAGCAGTAACTTCTATTGCATATTCCCTTCGGTTGTTAGATATTCATCTGAAACCACAATGTCTATGTTGTATAACCCAATTCCTAGCCCATCATGGCTATGATGTAAGAAATGAAAGTATCGCTCGATTCATGTCCTCAAGGCGAACATACAGACTATTTAGAAATTCTAACACACCCATCTTTAAGGAACTGTTTATATGACAGGATAAGCAACTCAACAGGCAGAATAAATTCCAAAAAGCTGTAAGAAACTAGAGCACAATATCGCTATCATGTTGACCAGATTGAGTTCCAAAGCTTGATGGGATTGGATTCATGGCACCAAAAACCTCCAATGCCAACCACTGAGGCTCATGCATGGTTCACAGGAAGAGAATTCTAGTATTGTCACAGATACTAGTACAAGGAAACATTCGTTCGCGGGCATCAAATATGTGTAACCGCGTATTTTCTATTTTGCAAGCTAATCGACTTGTAGCATTTCTTATTATTATATCCTCTTGATCTGCTGGCATCTCAGTGAAAAAAACGCTCATCCGACAATAGACCAATATAAATACTTCCAAACAGATATGGAGAGAATGCATTTTTGCTAAAACCCGGAAAGGAGAAAATCACGCATCGATACTGTGGTATATCCAATCCCCATTTTGTTGTCAAGGACAATCAGAGATATAAAATATTTGTAGTAACAAAATAGGATTTTTGAGAAAAGGGGCGAGAAGTTGTACCGAAGGGGACGAGGGGATTTCTGACGCGCTTCTTGTCCTCGAACAAATGTTCCAGCTCCCTATTGGCGGTTCCCATCTTTTCCATCCACCACTCTTCGAGGAGAAAAGACCACCAGCCAGACGTCCGTCTTCCTGTCGCCGCCGGTGGGCTGGACTGGGTTGGGATCGGTTGGATTATTCTGCAGATCCCCTGTTTCCCCCACTCCGAGCAAATCAATGAACATCATAGCTCGACGCCTTCACCCATTTACGCCCTTGTATTCTATTTGTTTTTTCCATTATTTGCAAATTTCCCCTTGGCTTTTCATTTATTCTTTCTTATGCCTGAACATTTCGTTATTAGCACTTTAGCCCTTCAATTTCTTAATTTTTCCTTTATTGCCATTGCAAGTTGCAAACTTATCTAGTCAAAATTCTCTTCCAATAGATGCTTGCTTCGGCTTTTCTCATGCTGCTTCTAGCCCAACAACATCGAAATACCGGGTTAATTGAAGTTAACAAGATGAATGAAGCTAAGTGTGCTATTTAAATAAGAGTCAACAAAAGACAAATACCAAAAAAAAAAAAAAAGTATCCTAAAAGATATAAAATTATTATGTCTTATCTTTTTATTTAAATTACAAGCAATTTTTGTAACTTAGATGATATTAGCACTTTCACACGAAATACTTTTTAAATGTCTCTCTAAGAGAGGTGATGTATTATCACTTTCATACAAAAACACATTTTAGTGTCTCTTCTCCAAATATGTGATAGCGGTGAAATTGAGGTTGTCATATAAAATAATGATCTCATATTATTTCCTTTTTTGACAAATTATTCTGGTAACCATTATACTTTTTGAGTTGTCGAGTTTTGGCTCCTCAACTATTAATAGTATATTTGTAACTAATAAATTTATCAAAACGGTAAATTTTGAGTAATTGTATCTAATTTTACTATTAATAGCATCATATTTAACTATTAATAGCATGTCTCGTGAATCATAAAAACCCTTATATCTGATAGAATTAACGGTAGAATCAAATGAAATGATCCAAAATTTATATTTTTGATACTTTAGTAGATAAAAACACACTATTAATAATTAAATGAACAAATTTTAACTATTCAAAAAATTTAGCGACTATGGAGATAATTTGCTCGTGCTTTTGCACATGGTGAAAATCGTGGAACGAAATGCAATTAACAATAGTTAAGAGTGGTGCCATTAATTCCCCTTAACCCATAACCCAACCGCCCAAGTACGCTCGAGCTTCCTATCGGCTCTACGTTGTCGTTTTGGCAACCTCGGCTAACCGACTTTGCAGCAGCAAAGTCATCAGTTAGCTCATCCTTCCGTGGCGGCAAAAGCATCCCAGATAAAATTCCAAAAAGAAAACTGGGTGATGGTTTTATGACACTGCACGGGACAGGCAGCATCAAATAAGCTAAAATATGGGCGTCCACGGCCTCTGGGACCTCTTGGCCCCCGTTGGCCGCCGCGTTTCCGTGGAAACCCTTGCCGGGAAACGACTCGCAATCGGTGAGCCCCTTCGTTTCTCCATTCCAACCCTAATCATGCCAGATGCCAGATTCAGTTATGATATTAAGAGAATTATAGTCGTGAACTATTGATGTCAATTTTTAATTGTAAGCTCACTTAAATTATGCTTAGACGCGAGTATATGGATGATTCAGTTCATGAAAGCGATGAGAGACGAGAAAGGAGAGATGGTAAGGAACGCTCATTTGTTGGGGTTTTTCCGACGAATTTGCAAGCTTCTTTACCTCCGAACCAAGCCGGTCTTCATCTTCGATGGCGGCACGCCCGCTCTTAAACGCCGTACTGTGATCGCCCGCCGCCGCCAGCGCGAGAATGCTCAAGCCAAGATTCGAAAAACCGCCGAGAAGCTTCTTCTTAATCAGGTCCCTTATTTCTTCCACCAATTATTATCAAATGCTCTGTATTTTTTTCCTTGTTTTATGTTCTTCATTTCTAATAGCAAATGAGATGCCTCTTTAATTGTTTAATTTAAGCAAAAGGAATATTAAGTGCTTCTTGTATTGTGGATGAAATTTGGTTCATCTGTGTGTGTAATAGGTGTTTCTGTTCAACCCTTTTAACAGCTCAAGCAAATAAGATTGAAAGAACTGGCTGCTGAACTTGAGAAACAGAGAAGGACTAATGATGCTAAAGGTAAGAAGGTCGCGACAGATGAAGCACAGATGGCGCAGGAGACATCAGGACAAAGCTTATTGTTTACAGATGATTACAATCAGGAAGCATTGGATGAAATGTGTGTGCTAAACTATGTTATCTTGTTTATTTGTAGTTGTGAAAGTTTGAAAGGAAGTGTATGGCTATAAAAAAAAAATTCTTACTTTTTTTATGTTGAGTTAATCAAGGTTGGCAGCATCACTTGCAGCGGAGGAAGATGAAGGTTTCGCTGCTGCTGAGTCATCATCTGGTGTGGGGATTCAAACTGAAGAAGAAGAAGGTGCTGATGAGGATGAAGAGATGATCCTCGTGAGCTTTTCTTTCTTGTCAGATATTGTAGTTATATTATGAGGAGGTTCGGGGGGAATAAGAACCATATCCAAGTTTACAATTCTGGAGATTAGGGCAAGGAATATCTGATACATTATTGAAACCTTTACCACCTAGAGTTTATTGCTGCAGTTTCTAATTTAGCCATCAATCTGTCACCAAAAGTTGCATCTTTTTACCTGCATATTTGGATTAAGGATCATTTTTACAGTTATCAAAGTTAAAAACACAATATGTTCCATTTCTATTGCTTATTTAGTTTTTGGACCTACTCTACTTGACAGAGACTGATTTTGTTGTGCTTTGCGATGATATTAAGATTGTAGAAGATCTAAGTGGTGTCTCGCTTGACTCTATTCAATCAATTGCAGCCAACCATGCATGGAAAAATTGATCCTGCTATCTTAGCTGCCTTACCTCCATCCATGCAACTTGATCTTCTCGTTCAGGTAATTTAGTGATATATATATATATATATAGATATAAGAAGTTTTGATAGACAAAGCTTTGTCAAACTTTAATTAAAAAAAAAAAAGCTTTATTCTTTTCTGATATCTTGATTTCCTCACAGATGAGAGAGAGATTGATGGCTGAGAATAGACAAAAGTATCAAAGGGTTAAGAAGGTATGATCTCAACCACCTTAAGAGGTAAATGTATATAAATGAGCTGTAGTCATAGTTTAGCACCTTTAATAGATGTTGAGCATCTCCTGGAAAATTTTTGGGAAGGTACTTTATTTTGTTTGCTTTAAAAACTATACTGTATTTTCTGCTGTCAGTATGTAATTACTAGTAAGACAAATTACATATTTGGTTGTACTTTATTTTGTTTGCTTTAAAAACTATACTGTATTTTCTGCTGTCAGTATGTAATTACTAGTAAGACAAATTACATATTTTAAATCTGGATCATTGATTCTTTGGTTTACAGTAGCTTGATAGGATATTTATATGTGGTACAAAGATGTACTTGTTACCTTTTGATTTCTTCTTTCTGATGTAGATAAGAAATGCTCAATGCTTCTTGAGTGTTGCAGTCTTTTACCTCATTGCAAGTGTTTAGGTGTTTTCAGGACTGTGTGTCAGCTTGTGTCATTTCCTGCTTTTTACTGGTTTATGTTTATCCATCTTCTCTAAAGTAATGCTAAAGTTGCAGACTCTTTAGGATGTTCCTCATCCTTCTTTTTTTCTTTTCTTTTTTGCTTCTGGGCATTTTCTTCGAATGTACAAATAGGCCCCTTCTAGATTTTCGGAATTACAGATACAAGCTTATCTTAAAACAGTTGCTTTCCGGCGTGAGATAGATGAAGTGCAGAAATCTGCTGCAGGAAGGGGAGTAGGTGGGGTACAGACTTCAAGAATTGCTTCTGAAGCAAATCGAGAATTTATTTTCTCAACAAATTTCAGTGGGAACAAACAGTAAGCAAACATCTTTTGACTTTTGACTATTGGTTTCTGCTCAACAGAGCTCGTTCTTGAATTTAATACATCTGCATAGAGTATTAAATTCAAGAACGAGCCTTGTTTATTTTTAAAATTTTGTCTGAGACACCGTCCTTCAAGCAATGATATTACTTATTGTGCACTTGAATTATTAGGGTCCTTACATCTACTGGAGAAGGGAGCAAGAAAAGTGAACAAAGTCAAACAGCACCAGTGAACCCTTCCACAAGTGCTGTCAATGATGTTGCATCAAAAACAAAACACACTGCTGTGGCTGGATCTACTGTTGATGAACCTCAAAGGAATTTTGAGAATGATGTCGAGACATATCTGGATGAGAGGGGTCGGGTTCGAGTGAGTAGAGTTAGAGCTATGGGTATTCGTATGACTCGAGATTTGCAAAGAAATTTGGATTTGATGAAAGAGATTGATGGAGAGAGTGTGTGCATGACTAAAAGTGCAATAGAAGAATCTACCAATTGTAGCAGTGTAGTTGATATACCAGACAATTTTTCTAAGCGGATCCCAAATTTAGCAACCTGTTATCAGGATTCAAATGGAATGACTTGTGTTGATGAGAACAATGAAGAAAGCATATTGAATGCTGGAACTTCCATGGAGATATCTTTTGACGATAATGGTCAGCATGAACTGGGTGGTGAGGATGATGATCTATTTGCTCATTTAGTTGCAGGAGATCCAGTAATGGAATTTTCTATTAATGATTCTCTCTCAAAGAAACAATCTTTGGATTCTACTTCAGAACCTGAGTGGGAGGATGGAGATATTGAAGTTGAAGCTGGTACTTCAAACAATAAACTGAAATGTAAGCCACTCCTGCCAGATGGTATGCGTGATGAGAATGATTTGGGATGTGAGGATGGTTCTCTTGGTATCCAAGAAGAGGCCTCCTTTTCTGGTGAATACTTGGACATTGTTTCTAAAGGTGCTTTGGAAGAAGAAGCTGATCTAAAGGAAGCAATAAGGAGGAGTCTTCAGGACCTGGATGATCAAAGGCTTGTTGATACACCTGATGAGGATGAAAAGTGTGGAGCAACGGCAGCAGTGGTTAGTTTGAGCAGGAATTCTGGGTTTATTCATAAAGAAGTGGATGGAAAAATGTCACAACCTCCCTCCACATTTAATAATCAACAGCATGAGTCCCCTTGTCATGTTCAAGAGAACACCAGAAGTCCTGCTAGTAACATTGTGGAGACCAATAGTTCTTTGGACGGCCACTTGACTGCATATTTAGAAGTTAATTATGGTACGAAGGATCTTTTGCCTGAAAAAGCATGTGGAAGCTACCCATTCGTAGACCCACTAATGCAAGATGTGAGTGGAAATAATACTTCGCACCAAGAAGTATGTGGCACCCCTGTACAAGAAAAGGATGTTTCGCCATTTGAAGCGCAGCTTGCTTCTGGCACTGGGGATGGAATTGTTGCAGGTAATGATAGTTATTCAACATGTTCCTGTCATTTGTAACTCATCATTCTGCTGATTTGCTGATGCCATTTTTGCAGATGGTTTACATAATGGGTCTGAGGCTGAGGCAGTAGTAGATGGCCATTTGAATAGGACAACTGAAATAAAAGGAGCCTCTTTGAAAGATTTAATGATTGACACTGCTCAACAATGCAGAGAGGGAGAAGTTCATGAATGTGGAGAAGAACATTTGGGTAAAGATGGTTCATCATATGGCAGAAAGGAAGAAGCTAGATTGGAGGAGGAAGTGCTACTTTTAGGTGAGGAGCAGAGAGAACTTGGAGATAAGCAGAAAAAGCTTGAGCGAAATGCTGAATCAGTAAGCAGTGAAATGTTTGCTGAATGCCAGGTGTGATATGTCTTGATATTGTTCTTAAATATTGATGGATCCAGATATTATGGCCGTACATTCATAACCATTCAGAGTCTGAGCAGGATCTTGTTGTGAATTCTAGATAGTTTTGTTAAAATTGAGTTCCTTATTGTTTGTTAACCTGATTCATGACTGGTGTTTCTATTTCAAGTCAAAAGCATGCCTAGATACTGATAAATTTTTTATTCCTGTCTTTTGTCATGTTCTTCTTTCATTTAGGGAACATTGTCCCTTTCTGTTTATCCAAATCTTGTATCTTTTGGTTCAACGAAGCAAAGCTTATCAAGCTTGTTGGGTTTCATTTTTTTCCCTTCTTGTAGGAGTTACTTCAAATGTTTGGCTTACCTTTTATTATTGCACCCATGGAAGCTGAAGCTCAATGTGCATTCATGGAACTTGTAAACCTTGTTGATGGTGTAGTTACTGATGATTCCGATGCATTCTTGTTTGGCGCACGAAATGTCTGCAAGAACATTTTTGATGATCGCAAGTATGTTGAGACATATTTTATGAAGGTTTGTGTCGTCTTCAATTTGGGATTTCGTTTACTCTTTACTCACTTTTGAAGCACTAAAAAATAAGAAAGCTCCAGAACTAGTTGTCTTTATGCCCTGGCATGATGTTAAGTTTAGTTTGCGATGGTTTTCCATGGCAGTGTGTAAATATTACTTGTTTTGAGATTAGGATGATCCATCCTTGATTCCTTTCCCTCTCTCTCTCTCTCTCTCTCTCTCTCTCTCTCTCTCTCTCTCTCTCTCTCTCTTTGCCTTTTTATCCCATGTATTTGTGTTTAACTATGCAGTAGCTTCTTAATCTTCTTGGCAATAACATTCACATTCTAGCATGGACTATCTAATGTTGATGCAATTTATCTGGCTGGCCAGGACATAGAGAATGAGCTTGGCTTAAATCGGGAAAAGTTAATTCATATGGCACTGCTGCTTGGAAGTGACTACACTGAAGGTGTAAGGTAAAACCTTTTCTCGATCAACTCAATCAGGAATACAGAATTTCCAATCCCTTATTTTGTTGTTTTGTGGTTGAGGCTGAAGATGTGCTGGCATGCTGTATTGATTTCATTTTATTTAGTTCTAGTTCCTGATTTATATTATCTTGGTTCGGAGTACATTATGACTTCGTGTCTGGTCTGTTCTAATGTACAAAATTTTTCTAGTGGAATTGGCATTGTAAATGCTATCGAGGTTGTAAATGCTTTCCCTGAAGAGGATGGCCTCCATAGATTTCGTGAGTGGATTGAATCACCAGATCCATCCATTTTGGGAAAGTTTGATTTGCAAGCAGGGAGTAGCTCAAAGCAGATACAATCACAAGTTGGTGAGACTGATATGAATTGCTCAGATGCCAAGTTAAGTGGAGTTGCTGCACGTGATGCAGATGTTTCTGGGTCTGTTGATGACACCCAAAAGTTGAAGCAGATTTTTATGAATAAGCATGTATTGTCATGATTCTCGTGTTCTTTGTGTTACATGCATTGGTAAGGGACACTGCTCTTTCTTGGCTTTTATGTTCATTCATTAAATGTTCTATATGCAGAGAAATGTGAGCAAAAACTGGCACATTCCTTCTTCTTTCCCGAGTGATGCTGTTATTTCAGCATATTCATCTCCACAAGTAGATAAGTCAACCGAGCCTTTCTCGTGGGGGAAGCCAGATCATTTTGTTCTCCGCAAGTATGTGTTTTCTGCTTGTCTCGCTTGAAATAGTCTTCTGGGGCATTTTAGAACCTGAGACTTGTTTTGAGTGTTGAGTGACAAGTGTTGTTGTAAAGTTATTTGTTCCTGGTTTAGATAATTTGATCCTTCAATTTGTGGGTGGGGGGAAGGGAGGGAGAGGGAGGATTAATAGGTGGCACTTATTGGTTGTTATTGTGACAAATTCTTTAATATCAGTTTCTTTTTTAGCAAGAAAATAGACAGTTGCACTGGAAATTAAAATGCATAGGAAAGTTCAGTTCTTTCTTTGCATTTGACTTTTTCTTTTATAGTTTTGCCTTGAGCACTTGTTGGGAGCTGTGTTGCTTAGCTTAATTGGTATTGATACAGATTGTGTTGGGAGAAATTTGGATGGAGCACCCAAAAGGCAGATGAACTATTGCTTCCTGTATTGAAGGAGTACAATAAACGTGAGGTTGACTCATCTTCTCTCTTTCTCTCTGTATTGAGAAGTTTCGAGGGCAACCATACATCTCTCTCATATTTAACAGTTCATGTCCTGTTTCACAAGTAGTGTCTATCCCATAGTATGAGGAAGATCTTGCGTTCAGGATTTTAGTGTCAGTCCTTTGATGGTTCCATTTGTTCACTTCTTTGGCAGATGCACAAGGAAAAAGGCACTTAGCTCTTTGATGAACTCTTATCTTTCATATTTGCTGGTTTAGATGTTGAATTGATTCTGAAAGAGTTCTATCCAAATTATGTAGTTTTCCTCTCAACATGCAAGTTGTTTTTCTTGTATTGCATTTCTAGTTTCAAATGCAATGTGAATGTCATTGCTTGTACTGTTGTATATATATTTTTTTTTGGCTGCATGATGATGTCTTGGTGTTTCTCTGCCTTGATTGCTGTAGACTCAACTGCGGTTGGAAGCATTTTACACATTCAATGAAAGATTTGCAAATATTCGGAGTAAGAGGATCAAAAAAGCTGTCAGAGGTATAACAGGGAAGAAATCCTTGGACTTGATGGATGAGTCTGTGCAAGATGGCCTGAGAAGTAAAAAGAAAAGAAGAAACAACCAAGATGTTGCGGCTGGGGACAAACTAGAAGAAGCTTCCAGTGGACAAGAATATGCAGATGTTGGGAATGAGGCCAAGACTACAGAAAAAGTAAATGAAACGGAGTTGAGAAATATAGGATCCCTGGGACGACCTTTACACCCTGGTGGTGGGAGTAGGAACAGATTACCCAGTGAGGAAAACTTTCAAGGTCGAAGTAGAGGAGTTACTGTTAGGAAAAGAGGTAAAGCTAGAGGTAGAGGTGGAGCAAGTGATCATCCTATTAACAAAGGAGGAATTAAATCTCATTCTTCAGAATATTCTTCATCTAGCCCTGATGATGAAATCTATAGCGACAGTGCGCAAGATGTCCAAGTTAATTTTGGAGAGCAAAACCAAGTACGAAGAGTAAGTCTTGTATTTTGTGTCTCATCATCCGTTCTGATCTTAAAGTTTGCTGTTGCACTAAGCATTGATGAAAGCTTGAAACTGACCATGTCTGGAAAAATCTGACCTGATCTGAGCAATATTGTTTTCTTCACTAGCTTAAATAAATCCCATATTCTTAAAAGTCCTAATCAGCACCTAACGTTGTTTGTACCTTTTGGTCCACTTAAGCCTTAATATACCTGCAGTAGTGGATAATCATTTCATTCATAAAACTGATTAGATTCCAGCCCTTCATCAGTCTAATTAGAAGTCTTACCAGGCGTCTTTAGGAAGATCAGTTAGTTCACCTTGACTTCCTCTGCCCTTTTTCCCTCGCTCTAAGTAGTTTTTGTCGTCATTCCTTCTATTTGGTTGTGATTGGTATTCTATTTGTGAAATTTCAGTCGAGAAGGCCTCGGAAGGAAGTGAACTACTCTGAGTTTAACTTGAAATCTGATGATCCCGATTCGGGTGATGAAAGCTCCAGGGAGGGTAGTGGAGCAAGGAAAGTGTCGTCTGCAGACATGCTCGAGGATCTTACAGCAGCTGTTCCAAGCAAAATTAACGAGAGTGAAAATCTTGATCAAGAACTGTCCTGGGAATTTCTCGAAAAGGGTGATGGATATGGTGTTGGCAAAGCTAAAGAAGATATGGGGACAGATCAACTAAACTCCAGTCCTTCCAATGATATCGTTTCCGATACCGAGTTATCCAAAGAATACCTGTCAGTGGGAGGTGGATTTTGCTTGGACGAAGATACTACTGATGGGGACTTGCAGGGGTCATCTAAGTGCCCGGGGAAAGTGACGACATTTGAATCTGATCCATCCAAGTGCTCGGGATTGGGGGAAGATGAGATCAGTAAGAGCCCCACCAGAGCAGTGAACCCTGTTCAGGCGGGGAGACTGGGGAACCTGGATACTTCGTATACCACCACCACCAAGAATCCAGATGAGAGTGCAAATAGGGATAGGTCGGAGGTAGCAAGCATTCAGGAAATTATCAGCGACGATGATTATGATAAGGATTCTTCAAGATATTTCCGTGCAATGCCAAATTTAAGGAGAAAAAGAAGGAAAACTTGATGTTGCACCTTGAAGCATCGAGTGAAAAAAGAAGGTATTTCCTTCGTTTTTTAATGGAAGTCGAATTTCTAGCGTATCGTTCTGTGCAATTTAGATGATTTGCGTTTTATGGGGTACGTGACCGTTTCATTATCCTAAATGGAAACACCACCCACCCCCCTCTCTCTCCCTTTTCTTTTCCCCCAGTTTTTCCGTTTTCTAAATGGAATTTTTTGTTGTCAAGTACTATATAAAAAGGAAAATGGTAAAATTAGAATTTGAACATTTTAAGGTAGAACAAAATTACCCGTTCAGCATTTCCAACAAAAAAAAAAAAACAAAGGAAACAAAATAAACTAGTCGAACAAGGAACAATCCAAGACAGCGAGCGAGTCATTGAAACAATTTGGGCAAATTATCCAATTGGCCCTTGAACTCTTTGTCTAGGTAAAAATAAGCCCCTCATCTATTTTTTGCTGACTTTAAGCCCTCGAACTTGTAAAATTGGACACTCGCGACTCTTTTAGCCAGTTTCTCCGGTTTTACAACCGGAAGGCCAATTCACACGAGTGCCAGTGTGCTTCTTCAAAGGGCATTTTTGTCCGCAATTTCTAAGCAAAGAGAACAACTCCTCCTTCTTCCATCCATTTCTGCAAAACCCTTGTTGCCGTCGCTTTCTCTCTCCTCATTCTCTGCAAAACCTTTGTTGACTAATTTTGCCTTCTTCAGCAGCCATTTTCTGCTCCGAAATTTTCAACCATACGCAAACAGCTGTAAAGCTCAGCACCAAACTCAACAACCCACTTCCCAATTCGATCCCCACAATGGCCAGAACCGATAGCCCTTTGCTCCTCATTGGCGGCAATGGGTACCCGTACAGATCCTTATTCCCCTCGTAGGAGCTCGCATTAAACCTCGGCGGTTCCGCTCCTATTTCCTGAGGACGAGGGTATCGGACCCGACAACTTGTTATTCGAAACATCGAAAATCGAGAGACGGGCCAGCAATCCCAGCTGCTGAGGGATGAGCCCGGAAAGTTGGTTACCGTGGAGATCGATCACATTAAGGTAGGCGCAGAGAGTGAGCTGTTGCGGGATTGGGCCGGAAAAGCGGTTACAGGAAAGGTTTAGGACAGCGAGATTGACGAGGCATTGGAGGTCAGAGGGGATGGGGCCTCTTCAAGAATCCACTCTTTGATGGAAAGACCATTCTCAAGATCTGAAACTTCAACAGGGTACTCTTCTTGACTCATCATCAATTTGAGCAATTTTTTTTTGATTGGTTGGTGATGTTTTGACAGTTTGGAGGCGTGATTGGCGCATTCAACTGCCAAGGAGCTGGTTGGGACCCCAAAGAATAGAGGATCAGGGGTCACTCCGAGTGCTACAAGTCCATGTCCGATTGGGTTCACGTCGCCGAAATTGAATGGGGACAAACCAAGGAAGCCTCCAAAATGGGCGAGGCACAGGAATACGCGGTCAACCTAAGCCAGGCCGGGAAATTATTCTTGACCAACCCCGCTTCTCCTGCAACTGAAATCACGATCGAACCTTCCTCCTTCGAGATTTACAGCTTTGTTCCCACCAAGGAGCTTGGTCTCGGTCGGGGCACCAAATTCGCCCCCATCGGCCTCACCGACATGTTTAACAGCGGAGGGACCGTTCGGGCCCTGGAGCATAACGACTCGGGCGCCGGAGATGGCGTTGGAGGAGAGGTCGAGTGCTTGGAGATTAGTACAGCTGGAGATATTGGAGGAGATGGAGCCCTTTAGGAAGAGGTTGGAGAGGGAGAGTTTGTAAATGCGGCCGTTGTTGCAGGTGGCACCTTAGAGGAAGGAGGTGAAGCCTTGGCAAGGGTTAGCGAAGATAGCTTTGCTCCAGTTTTGGAGGTTCTTTAATGGGTGTTCACTGATGCGGGTTAAGCATAACTCGTCGTTTGGATCTGGCTCTGATGGCTATGACTTTGCTCGTGGGAAGATTCCTAAGAGCGGAGGTATCACTCTCCTGCAGAGAATGAGGAGAGAGAAAGCGGCGGCAACAAGGGTTTTGCATAAATGGATGGAAGAAGGAGGAGTTGTTCTCTTTGCTTAGAAATTGCGGACAAAAATGCCCTTTGAAGAAGGGCACTGGCATTCGTGTGAATTGGGCTTCCGGTTGCAAAACCGGAGAAACTGGCTAAAAGGGTCGCGAGTGTCCAATTTTACAAGTTTGAGGGCTTAAAGTCAGTAAAAAATAGATGAGGGGCTTATTTTTACCTAGACAAAGAGTTCAAGGGCCAATTGGATAATTTGCCCAAACAATTTTAGTAGTATGAGAAACGCGTACGGTACTAGCGGCATGTGTGCTTGTAGAGAAAGCTGGAAAGAAAGGAAGATGGATGGGGAGGCGTCGTTATGGGAGCGGTGTTGCCCATTCACAGCCATGGTTACGGTGGTGTTGCTCCGAAGCAGCCACACACGTTGAATTGGATATATTAACCGTTTTCATGTTACTAACATTCTTGTATGATACTTTTCAGCTTTTCTTTTCCTTCCTATGCGCTACTACTACCGCAGCTTATTCCAAGTCAAAGCCTGCCTTTCTTGGTTTTCCTCTCCCGAGTTAGTAGTAGTACACGATTGTTTGACAGGTAACTCATTCCATTTCTTTTTATGAAAGAATAGTAGTAAAAGAACAAAAAACAAAATCTTGACGGGAACCAAAATCCATGATAATATTCGATTTGTATCTTTTTGGTTTTACCTTCCGATAAGCACAGGAGGAGGGCAAGGGCAATGGCGAATATCACAAAAGAGCAAAGTTTATGGCATCTTACAGCCAAAATGCCCCACTTCGCTTGAGACGAATATGACATGACGATGCCACAAACGAGGAACGTGTCCCAGCGAGTTGCTTAATTAACCTATTGCATTTATTTTCTAATAGGAACGCTCAATAAATGATTTTCTCCTGCCATTGTTTTTTATTTTTGCAAATCTCGTGTAGATCTTGGACGGACTGCGACCCACAGCATTCATGCATGTTCATGGTTGCCCTCTCAGTTGCAAGTTTACAGATACATGTCGTCGTCCGCAGATGCACTCAGTGGCGGCCTTTTATTTATTTATTTTTTTCCATAGACAGAAGAAGAAGAAGAAACACACATAATTAGGTTAGAAACACTCAGGAGTCATCACAAAATCGGACCCTAAAGTCAGTCTAAGGGGGACCCACAAACCAACACCATCCAACCAATTGGTTACAGGAGATGCGGCTGAGGACCTTAAACCCAGAATAACTACCCCCAACGCTCTTTCGACGGGGGAGTGGCGGCCTTTTATGGTCTATCATTTTCTCGATTTTCTGACTACACGAGATTTGCACAGGGAATCGGCGTATTCTAAGTATTAGCACACCCACCATTGGAAATATATTGCAAATTTCCTCCATCCTTCTAAACAAAAGCTCTTACCTTCTCCTCATAATTTTCTTTCAAGTATTGTGTCTTTAAAGTATAGTTGTCATCTTTTCTCCCTTAATCCACTCCACTCTTATTCTTATTAAAATAAAAGATAGCTAGTAACGATTTTTTCCCCTTCTGTTTTCATGTTTTATGCATTCATAATCTTTTTTTTTTTTTTTTTTTGGTTGGGAAGTAGCTTGTATCTATCAATAATTGATTTTGTTTGGATTCCATTTTTCTAGATTTTATGTAGAAAAATTACTGTAGCGATCTGATATTTGAGAGGTAAAAAGCTGATTGAAAAATGTGTCATTCTTTGAAAAACGTAACAATTTTTCTTTGAAAAATTACAATCCAAACACATCTTTTCTTATACTAATTTATGCATGCGAATTAAAGATCATCCATCTGCTCCTCTTGATTACTAACGCGTCACTCTTTTTATTTTGGTTAAAAAATAGTTTGGCAGCCTTGCATATTGCTTGATATTTTGATGCACCAAAATTATCTAGCTTTTAATCCACGGCACATTTCTGTAGCTCGAGCTATGAAATCACAACTTCATAAGTCACTTAAACTAATCCAACACAGAACCTTTTTTTTTTATCAATATATTCTTTCAACATTTGGAAAGAAAAATTAAATGTAAATATCCAAATTAGTTTAACATATACAAGAGACTTCAACCGCTACTAAATTAGAATAGAAGTTTGTAAATATTTTAGGTATTTTGTTTGAGTAGATCATATTTTATTCACATTATTGTCCATTATATAAATGGGATCTGTCTAACGGATGCCCATTGGACATTCGTTATGATATATTTCAGGTATTATACTTTGAGAAATGTAAGATTAATTAGGTAAAGTAAATAAATACAAAAAAAAAGATGTGTAGAATTAAATAAGAAAATAAATAAATGTAGGAAAGGGTATAAAATAGATTAGGTGAATTTTAGTGATGTTAACGAGTAACAATTTGACAACGGTTAGGAAAAGCAGAGAGAATTATAGCTACAAAAAGTTTATAAGTACGCTAAAGCTGACCGATGAAGTGCAATTTCAAAACGATTCCCACTACCATTATCTTCTCCCCTACCTCCCCTTCCCCCCCCCCCCACCCCCCCAACACACACGCCAAAACCACACAAAGCACCTGCTGTGTGGTGTGCGCGAAAATTGTGCGGTTGCAAGCCCAGTCTTTTGTTGCTACATTTTGGGTGCAACGGATCTTCTGTTCCACATGCTGTGTCATTCTTCATCCCACTTTTTATTATATTGTTATTTCTCTTATATAAACATCATGTTTTAATTCTTTTTTGTCTCCTTAAGATCCAATAATTATTACTTGAGTAATATATAAAATTTAACAAACTCAAAAAATCAAAATGCATAAAAAATGAGATTTTTTATGAATTTTCTGCTGTATTTTTTAATTTTCTATTATATATTGCTTTTTTAAAGCTGTTGTATTGATTTTTTATTCAGTTAATAATTATTGGATCTTAAGAAAATAAAAAAAAAGAATTAAAATATGGTGTTTATGTAGGAAAAATAGCAATGTAATAAAAAATGGGACAGAGGATGGCACAGGATGTGGGACAAAAGATTCGTTGCGCATTTTGGGGCCTTTTTCCAAAATAGTATTATTCCCTGTTCTTAACCATCACATTGCTCATTTATTTTAATAATAATAATAATAATACACACAAAATTATCTCAAATAATTTACTATCCAAACACAATAAATATTTTCAAACAATCTTCTCATTCAGATACACATATTAATGATTTTTCATTAGTCCTCCCCAATATATGATTAATTAATTTCTCGGATAAATGCTTGGAATTAATCTGAGTGCATTGTGATTGGATCGTTTATAATATATCATTGGGGGTTTTACGCTGTGATGTGGGGAAAGGCACAGGAAAGGCATTTACCAGTTGTAAGTTGTGTGCCGTATTTATCTAGTCTCGATTCTCGATTCTCAAGTTGGCGGCCTATTGCAGTCATGAGGCCGTAGGTTAGTTTGCAATTAATTAGAATTAGAATTATTTGATGCCGCTGAAAAATTCAAAGCATGAAATTTAGTGCCCATAGAATTAGAATTGAATTCTAATTCTCTGCAAAAAGTCAACATTCAAACAGCAGGAATAGAAATTGGGGGACATTCAATTCCAATTCTATGGAACCAAACACACGCTCAAAATTTTTGAGAAAATGCTTTTGTCTTGTCTTTTTATTATTATTACTATTATTTTCCTTTTTCTTTGTCATGTCTCTCGATAAAGGTATCAAGAAATGGATTATTCACGGGATCCGCCGGCTGCGAAATAATTTACCAATTACTACATGCAGGCTGGGATCCGTCCGGTCACAAACTTTCTATCACAACTTACAATCTAAACGCAAAATAAATAAATAAATAATAATACCAAAAATCATTCAAAACATTTCTCATCTTTTTCAAAATGATTTTTTTCGTCCCTCGTTTTTAAAAGTGTACTTTTATATCTCTTACAGATTCACGTTAATCAAATTTGGTCCCTATCTTCCCTACTCAGGTTTTCGACTAGTTTTTTGTCGGAATCTACTGCGTACCTTGCACGTGATCATTTTTTAAGGGCAAAATTATTAAATTAAAATTTACATAATCCGGTCCATAATTCCTCACATTTCATAAAAATTAATTTTTTTATTCTTCATATTTTATAAAATACTTTTTTCATCCCCTTATTAATCATGTGTACGAATAACTTTTTTTTAAACTCGTGTATATATCTATTTAATTTCTCCTGAACAGTATAAATAGCATGTAATATATCTCTATTTCAAACGAAATCAAATAGAGATATATTACATGATATTCGTATTGTTCAGGTGAATTTAAATAAATATATATAGGGATTTAAAAATTTGTTAATTTTTCCCTCATATTCATTTTCTTTCATTCGAAAATTGAAAATAAAGAAGACATTTAATCCTAAATATTATCAAGTGCTTATATTAAATTAAATTTGGACAAAAAAAATAAACAAAAAAAGTATGATAGAAAGAAATAAGTGGTTTGTACTTTCAAATTTTAAAACAATCACAATGTAAGAAATTTAACTGTTGGTCTTAAAGATGGTGAGTAGAAATTTCAGATTTAAATTATAATTTGTTAGCATGACTATAAAATTCGAATTAAGACTGATTAATTATATGGCTTTATTACATAACTCAATAAATGAATTATTACCTAAAGAGAAAGGCCATAATATTGAATAGATTCACATGATAAAATCAAATAGATATATCTGGGTTTAAAACAAAATTGTTAGAGTTAAACCCATGTATATATCTATTGAATAACATGTGTACAACTATAATTAGTCTGTTTAAATAAAATTAAGTGGAGATATATTCTATGTTATTCGAACTATTCAGGTGAAATTAAATATACATATACATGAATTTAAAAAAAAAAAAAACTATTCTTACACTTGGTGAATAAAGAATTAAAAGTTCATTTTATGAAAAGTGAGAAATGAAAAAATTCATTTTGTAAAATGTGAGAGACGAAATAATTTATTTTATGAAATATAAGGGACTACAAATCGAATTATGTAAATTCTGATTTGATAATTTTATCTCTAAAAAATGATCACATGCAAGACGCGTGATGAATTATGATAAAAATTAGTCGAAAATCTAGGTAGGGACCAAACTTGACCAATATGAATTTGTAAGAGACATAAATTTACACTTTAAAAGTAAGAGACGAAAAGAATCGTTTTACAAAATATGAGGGACGTTTTGAACGAAATCAAATCTTGTGCAACTGCAAATGTCCTTAGGCACTGAAATCAATCTTAACTAAAATTTTGGCATTTTCTAGTCTCAACCTGTGTGTTCTAGACCTAACGAGGAGGGGAACTTTTATTCCCCCTTTGTTGGGATTTGGGATAGGAATGGTTAATAGAGAAATCGTCTAGATCAATTTTGTACATTTTGCATAAGATATAATTCAGTTTACATATGATATAACTCACTTTGTATAACGTATAACTATAAAATAATATTTTATGGACATCACATATAATGTGAAAAATTATGTACAAAATAAAATTTGAACCTTACATTTTATTTTATTTTTTAGCGAAATCTTGCTTCAGAATGGTAGTTTCCCGTTGCTGCCCCAAATGCCCTTCTTGTGGGTTAGGCCATCGCATCAGTGAAACGCAGTCAACATTGCTCCTTTTTGCTCATTAT